AGTAAGGGCCGACATGAGCAAGCCGCAGCTACCTGAGGAGACACGGGCACCTGGGGAGACGCCCCAATCAGGGGGGGCGCAGTGACCAGCGTGAACAGGCCGGACACCGGGTCCCGGGAGAACGTGGTGAGGGGAGCACCAGTGGAGGCCTCGGTACAGACAGCATACCGCTCGTGACCAGGGAATGTAGTGGTGACGCCAAGGTCCTGGAGGCAACCGGCACCAACTAGGTTCCTAGAGAGCGAGGGGATGTGCAGGCCTGTAAGTGAGCCTGAAGGAGCCGCCGGACAGGGAAGGGTAGTGGAGCTACGAGCTACGACAGGACCTGAGGAAGGGTCAGCCAGGGACACTGCAGCGGGAGCGGCAAGTGGCGTGAGAGTAGTGGAGTCCCGGAAGAAGCACCGGGAAGCACCGGAGTCCAGGGTGAAGGAAAGCGCATCAGAGGCGAGAGGGGTCGAGGAAGCGACGGAGGAGCCTAGACTAAACAAAGCAGGAGATCCTATGCCTGACGCAGCAGGGGAGTCTAAGCTAGGCACTCCTACACAAGGCAACACAGGGTAAGCGGAACCAATCACACTTGAGTCATCGACATATAGAACATGCAGCGCAGAGCTAATCTCATCCATGTCCATATCAAAGACCTGAACACCCCTACGAAGTAAGCTGAGCCAGTCGAGGAGGTCGGGCGCCGGGCCAAAGCGAAAACAAAACAGGTCGTCAAGGCGATTGAAACAGCGAGAGGTGGTGTGACTGGTCTTACCACACACGAGGCCACTGCAAGGACCTGTCTGAAGCTGGTACTGGCAGCGCTCGTCACCCGCACCACCACCTGGCGTCACGCCGCGCGCACGACCAACGCAATCGCCACCACTTCCAGTGCTGGGACACCCAGGCGGGAGACGACCAACCCGCCTCTGCGGCTGCTGCTGCTGCTACTGTTGCGACGGCTGCTGCTGCTGCTGCGGCTGCTGCTGCTGCTGCTGCTGCGGCTGCTGCTGCTGCTGCGGCTGCTGCTGTGGTGGCTGCTGGTCAAGCGCGGGAACCTGCTGCTGCTCGGCGGTGCTAGGCCCAGGGCCCTCGTCAGCACCCCCAGCGAGCGACCTGGCTCCACCACCTCCTCCACCCCAACCACCCCCACCACCACGCCCAGCCTTGGGGCGGCGGCCCTTTCCAGGACGGGCCTGTACTGTAGCGGCAGTCTCAGCCACTACAGCAGAGCCGTCAGAGAAAGTGCACTGGGCAGGCACACACCCCTGAAAGATAGGGACCGGCACGGTACCGCTGGACTGAGCAATAGGGGGCTGGCGGGGCTCTATGGCAGACAGGGTGTTAATCAAGTCAGTGAGGGTGAGGTCTGCGGGGTGGGCACTAAGAAAGTTATCGCGGGCAGTGGCAAGGCGGTCAGGGAGGCGGGTGGCAAGCAGGTAGAGGTCATGTGGGAGAGGGGGCTGAAACACACATAGCTGGGCCTCAGTGTAGGCCGAGCGCCAGGTCGAGTCTAGCGTGCGTAAGTGGGCGGCTAGGTCAGCGACAGTGGGGAAAGACGCGAGATCAGGGAAAAGCAGGGGTAAGATCAGGCGGCCTACGGAGGCAAAGGACGGGGTGGAACAGCGAGTAATGACAGCATTGAGGAACTCCTGTGCAGTCCTGATAGACTTAAAGCGGGGACGCTTAGACAAGGGAAGCGCATGACTAATGGCAAGCTGTGCAATAGCGTCACGCGACAACCAGACCGAACGGGCAAGGGCAGCAGCAGCAGCGGACTCTCGATCAGCAGACGTGGGGTCAGCGGGCAGCGCAGCGGGGGGGTCAGGACAGGGGAGCGCACCATCAAGGTGGACGGGCAAGGAGTGGCCGTCCTGCCGCTGAATTGTGAGGTGACAGCGGAGGTCGACGAGCCACGTGTCGAACTCAATCGGCTGACCCTCCGCGTCAAATCGCAGCACAGAGTCCGCCATCAGTAACGAGGCAGCTGCAGTGCGGTGCAGTACGGTGCAGAGGGGTGCAGTGCGGAGGAGAGGGGTGCTGTGCGGTACAGTGCGGTGCAGGGCAGTGCAGGCGGGCGTCAGGGCCTGACGCGGAGAAGGGCGCGGGGCCGGGGACGAGGCGGGCGCGGGCCGGCGAACGGACGGGCGCGGGGCCGGAGATGGGGCGGAGGGGCCGCTAGGGGACGGGGCCGCTGGTCGACGGGGCCGAGGGGCCGCTAGGGGACGGTGCCGCGGGGCCGCTGGTCGACGTGGCCGAGGGGCCGCTAGGGGACGGGGTCGCGGGGACGCTAAGGGACGGGGTCGCGGGGCCATCAGGGGACTGGGCCGCGGGGCCCCTAGGGGACGGGGCCGCGGGGCCGCTAGGGGACGGGGCTGCGGGGCTCGACAAGGGACAGGGCTGCGGGCTGCTAGGGGACAAGGCCGCGGGGCCGCTAGGGACGGGGCCACGGGGCCGCTAGGAGACAGGGCCGTGGGGCCGTTGGTCGACGGGGCCGAGGGGCCGCTAGGGGACAGGGCCGCGGGGATGTTGGTCGACGGGGCCGAGGGGCCGCGGGGCCGCTGGTCGACGGGGCTGAGGGGCCGCTACGGGACGGGGCTGCGGGGCCACTAAGGGACGGGGCCGCGGGGCCCGCTAAGGGACAGGGCCGCAGGGCCGCTAGGGGGCGGGGCCGCAGGGCCGAGGGGCCGCTAGGGGACGAGGCCGCGGGACCGCTGGTCGACGGGGCCGAGAGGCCGCTAGGGGACGGGGTCGCGGAGCCGCTCGTCGACGGGGCTGAGGGGCTGCTAGGGGACGAGGCCATGAGGCCGCTAGGGGACGGGGTAGGTGAGGCGGCTAGGACCTAGGGCGGAAGCGTTGGTGGGCGGGAGGGACCTAACCTAGTCATGATACACTGTTAGAATGGAATAATGACTAGTATAGGAGGGTACAAGGCAATATAGGCTAGTGTGTTGTACCCTCTAAGGCACAAACCTGTGTAGTCTACAGTAACAAGATAAGTTATATTTGACATTAATACCATAATTAATGTTACAACCGTGTGATACTTCAAGACTTGAACAAGGATCCTTGCTGGAATGATAGACTAGTAAGATAGCAGAAGTCTTAGAACTTGTAAGTGTTGACCAAAATTTATTCAAGTACAAGTTGATAACTGAAGTTGTACAAACTACTTTTATATTTGCTAAAAGTACATATTCGGTAATGTACATGTTCAAAACTATTTACTATATGCGCTCTAACTGCTACTAAAAAGAGCGCGACTGTTCGCATGACTGAAACGGCCTGCTGACGTAATCATCTAGACGAGCACTATTTGCGCACGTCATTCTACGGATGCTAACTACAGTGTAACTCGACAATATCTATCGGAACTACTTACATAAATGCTGAAGTACGATGTTATCACTACAGGGTGTAGGACTCTGAGTCGATATTCTGAACCCTGCGTATTTCAGACTCGTTGACTTTTGGACACTAAGATTTCAGAGTAGCGAAAAATTGAAAAATGACCCTTCAGACTCGGGAAAAAAATTGAGGGGCAAAATCAGAGTGCCTTTTTTTTTTAACGTCAGCCCTGCTCCTTCGCCCTTTTGTTGCCGACACATCGAACGTCGCCCGACAGCCGATCACCCAGGATCTACGGCTAGCCGAGGAGAGTTCATTGAACCAGCAAAAATCCCGAGCCATCGCGTAAGAATGAACGATCAGGAACGACATGTTGACTTTCTGATACAATGGACCCATTTGTTAAACATGTGTATTTGTCATGTTTGTACAAACTGTATAGCTTCGCATCTTAAAGGGTACAACACTTAGGTATATCTGTGTGTACTCTCACTCTATCATTTTCACTTCTCCAATTTTGATATGATATCACGCGTAGGTAGGATCCCCCCCCCACCTACCGCTTCCGCTCGCCCCCCTAGCCCCGTCGCGACCCCCCTAGCCCCGTCGCGCCCCTTCCTGGGCCCCGTAGCGCCCCTCCTGGGCCCCGTCGCGCCCTTCCAGGGCCCCGTCGCGCCCCTCCCAGGCCCCGTCGCGCCCCTCCTGGGCCCCGTCGCGCCCCTCCTGGGCCCCGTTGCGCCCCTCCTAGGCCCCATAGAGCCCCTCCTGGGCCCCGTCGCGCCCCTCCTGGGCCCCGTCGCGCCCCTCCTAGGCCCCGTAGAGACCCTCCTGGGCCCCGTCGCGCCCCTCCTGGGCTCCGTAGCGCCCCTCCTGGGCCCCGTCGCGCCCCTCCTGGGCCCCGTAGAGCCCCTCCTGGGCCCCGTCGCGCCCCTCCTGGGCTCCGTAGCGCCCCTCCTGGGCCCCGTCGCGCCCCTCCTGGGCCCCGTAGCGCCCCTCCTGGGCCCCGTCGCGCCCTTCCTGGGCCCTGTAACGCCCCTCCTGGGCCCCGTCGCGCCCCTCCCAGGCCCCGTCGCGCCCCTCCTGGGCTCCGTAGCGCCCCTCCTTGGACCCGTCGCGCCCCTCCTGTGCCCCGTAGCGCCCCTCCTGGGCCCCGTCGCGCCCTTCCTAGGCCCTGTAGCGCCCCTCCTGGGCCCCGTCGCGCCCCTCCCAGGCCCCGTCGCGCCCCTCCTGGGCTCCGTAGCGCCCCTCCTGGGCCCCGTCGCGCCCCTCCTAGGCCCCGTAGCGCCCCTCCTGGGCCTCGTCGTGCCCCTCCTGGGCCCCGTAGCGCCCCTCCTGGGCCGCGTCGAGCCCCTCCTGCGCCCCGTCACGCCTTCAGGCCCCGTCGCCCCCGCCCGGCCCCGTCGCACCAGCCCGGCCCCGTCACGCCCGCCCGGCCCCGTCGCCCCCTGCCCGGCCCCGTCGCCGCCGCCCGGCCCCGTCGCACCCGTCCGGCTCTGTCGCGCCCGCCCAGCCTCGGTGCGCCCCTCCTGGGCCACCGTCCTGCTCGCCCGGCCCCGTCGCACCGGCCCGGCCCCGTCGCACCAGCCCGGCCCCGACGCACCCGCCCGGCCCCGTCGCACCAGCCCGGCCCCGTCGCGCCCGCCCGGCCCCGTCGCACCAGCCCGGCCCCGTCGCGCCCGCCCGGCCCCGTCGCACCCGCCCGGCCCCGTTGCACCGGCCCGGCCCCTGCGCTCGTCCCTGCCCCGGCCCCGATCCTCCTCACAGGTACGGTTCTCCCCCCCCGCCCCCCCGCCCTGCACTGCCCTGCACCATACTGCCCCGCACTGCACCGCCCCGCACCACCCTGTACTGCCTGGCACCGCACTGCACCGCCCTACACCGCACTGCACCGCACTGCGCCGCACTATACCGCACGGCACCGCACTCCACCTTGCTGCACTGCACTGTTCCTGATGGCGGCGGAGCTTCGCTTCGACGCTGAAGGCCAGCCTCTGGAGTTCGAGGCGTGGCTTGCCGACCTCCATCGCCAACTCACTGGCCAGCGGCAGGATGGTGAACCGCTTTCCGCACACCTTGACGGTACGCTCCCCTGCCCAGACCCCCCTGCTATTCTGCCCGCTGACTCCACACCCACTGAGCGCGAGTCCACTGCTGCCACTGCCCGTGCGCGCTCTGTCTGGCTTTCTCGCGATGCTGTCGCCCAGCTTGCCATTAGCAACGCCCTTCCCCCGTCCGAGCGCCCTCGCTTTAGGTCTATCACTACTGCTCAGGCATACTTAGATGCTGTCATCCAGCGCTATTCCACCCCTCCGGCTGCCTCGGTGGGTCGCCTGATCCTCCCGATGCTCTTTCCTGACCTTGCATCTTTCCCCACTGTCTCTGACCTCGCTGCCCACCTGCGCTCGATAGATGAGACCTGGCGCGCAGCCTGCACTGATGCACAGCTTAGAGCCCACCAGCCCCATTACCTCTACCCTCTACCTGCTTGCCACCCGCCTCCCTGACCGCCTTGCTGTCGCCCGCGACCGCTTCCTTAGCATTCACCCCGCAGACCTCACCCTCACTGACTTTGTAGACACCCTGACTGTGATAGAGACCCGTCACCGCTCCATCGCCCAGGCGAGCGGTGTTGTGCCGGTCCCTATCTTTCAGGGTTGTGCCCCCGCCCAGTGTACCTTCTCCGACGGCTCTGCCGCAGTGGCTGAGACTGCTGCTGCAGCGCAGTTTCGTTCGGGGAAGGGCCGCCGCCCCAAGGCTGGGCGCGGTGGCGGCGGCGGCAGGGGTGCGGGAGGGGGTAGTGGTGGTGTCGGTTCGTCTGGTGCTGGAGCGGACGAGGGGACCCTGCCCAGTCCAGCTGAGCCGCCGCCCCTGCAGTTGCAGCCGCCGCAGCAGCCGCCGCAGTCGCAGCCTTCGCAGCAGCCGCAGCAGCCGTCGCAGACGCGGCAGACGAGTGTCCTCCCGCCCGGGTGGCCCGGCGCTGGCGGTGGCCGGGCGCGTGGTGGTGTGCCGAGTGGTGGCTCTGGTGGCGGGCGTTGTCAGTACCAGATCCAGACCGGTCCTCGCCGCGGCTTCGTTTGCGGTAAGATTGGTCACTCCACTCCCCGTTGTTTTCGTCGCCTAGACGACCTTTTTCGT